GAAGGAAGATTTATCTAAGAAAGGATTAATTTGTTCTTGATGCCACGTCAAGAGCTTTGTAACCAAGGTGTTGAATTTTCTCAGCGCTGTTGGTGCTGTGATGCTACGACCCTTTTTTTAGACATAACGGTACAGAGGTTTGTAAGTACCAACAACACAATTTGCATCCAGATCTCAACTCTACATTCTCTACACCAATGATTCTCCAGGATGCAGGGCCAACTTTTTTTTATTTTCAGGAACTTCTTATGGACAAACACTTGGGCTGTGGAGAAATGCTAGACTATCGATGTTGGTGAAACATCGATGTTACCCTGCAGAAATGAACCTTATTAATGTTGCTTTCATTACAGCAATTCAGGCTGCTCCATCCATTCCTAAACTCTTGAATAAAAGATGCTCCATGAATTTATTTCTGAGGACGGATGCAGTATACTGTCATCAAACTAGTTTTTGGTGGTTTTTTGGTATTTTCTGCTGAGCAATCTGTTCCTGAACAGAACAAATCAATAGCCTGGACTTATTTCCACCTTATGAGATGAATTTTTAAATACCCTTAGGTATTTCTCTGCTCCTATAATTTTCAAAGATGTTGGTTTTATCCACTCAACCATCCATTGCCATTAAAAATAAATAAATAAGTAAACCCGGGGTTATAGATCCACCCTCTCCAGTCTGTGCTACAACCAACCCTGCTTTGGGGTCCCCCAAAGAACCCTCACTGCATGGATTTTTCTCTCCCTCTCCCTCTTGAGTATTTGCAGCCACCGAGGGTCCAACAAGGGCTGACCCAGGAACTAAAGTCCAAGGACTTGAAATGGCTTTAACAACGACCTGGAGCTCTTGAATAGACATTATCAAGGTGAGAGACGGGGCTGCAGACCAGCAGCTTCATCCCCAGCTTCTCTTCCCTGGGATGCCTTGCATACATCAGGGGTTAGTAACAGGTTATTGGAATCAAATAACACTGCATTCAGGCACCCAGTGAATACATCCTGAGGAGACATGGGACCGGAAAATTCTATGGACAGACTCCATAGAGCAGGAGGTCTTAAGCCTTTCCCTACTGTTCAAACCCCCCAGAAAAGTGTGACATTGGGTGAACAAAGCCCTGATTGGGCCAGAAGACAATACTATCTTCCCAACAGCAGGCTACAAAATCAGTGGGGCTGAAGTGGTTCACGCCTGTCATCCTAGCTACTCAGGAGCCTGAGATCTGAGGATCATGGTTCAAAGCCAGCCCGGGCAGGAAAGTCTGTGAGACCCTTATCCCCAAATAAACACCAAAAAGCCTAACATGGAGCTGTGGCTGAAGTGGTAGAATGCTAGCCTGGAGCGAAAAAGCCAAGTAAGAGCACAAGACCCTGAGTTCAAATCTCAGTACACGTGCATGCGCACACATGTGCATGCACACACACACACACACACAGAAAAGAAGAAAAAATATATATCAGTGGGTGGGGGGATTACCCAGAAGAGGTCAGATAACAGGCAGATAACAGGCAGGGAAACTCTTTGTCAAGTTATACAATCTCACACACGTAAAAAAGAACTATATTAATCCATAGCACATGAAACCTATGGTCTCCTGGACACTTTGTAATCAAAAGCTCTTACCCTTGAATAAAAGTGAGTTGATTTTAGAGAGAAACAGCGCATGACTAAAGGTACAGGTTATGGCCAAGTGGTGGTCCAGGAACAATCGGACAGAGATGTGGAGAGGGAGGAGAGAGGGAGGGGAGGGTGTGGAGGTGGAGATGGAGACTTGCTAATTCGAAGGGTGGGATTCCCCAGGCGTGATGTGCAAACCTACATTCCCGTGCAGAAGCCTTTGTTCCACAGGAACAACCACACAGACCGCGTTCCCCCTGCCCACATTGTTTCTCCTTTAATAAAATGAAGACTGGAGTTGCTGGGTGCCAGGGTGAACACATCAAACTTCCCAGCCTTGGATGCCAGATTTCCAGTGCCCGTGGGTACTAAACACCTCCACACACACACACACACACCCCGGCACTGCAGATACAAAGGGCCCAAATGGGGGTTTGCTTCCCTCCCCGCTTTTTCATCCTGGAAGCATAACACTTTACAGAAAGAGAAACACTTCAAAGGCAGACCCTTTCTTACGCGCTCTCAGACCTCTATTCAAGATCCACATTCATCTCCCTTATCCAATTACAGGATCAAAGCAGCAGTGCTTGGCCTACTTTAGGAGTTTAAAGAGATCCAGGGAATGACTGGGACCGTTCAACACATCCTTCTTTCCACCCTGCATCTTCCTGCAGGAGAGCTGGAAGATGTGCCCCCCACCCATACATACACACACACACACACACACACACACACACCCTCCCCCGGCACACACACAGACACACAGAGAGAGAGAGAGACACACACACACAGAGACACACACACACACACACACCCTCCCCCGGCACACACACACACACACACACACACACAGACACAGACACACACACACAGATCGGGTAGGTCTCTGTAAAATCCCCTCTAATCTCTCTCCGTGTGTCCAGGATACTTTGGCTCTCCTCTCCCCTACCACAGACCTTTCCAGAATCCACTCCCAAATTGGATTATTATCATTATTATTATTATCATCTTTGAGTAGTAGAATGAAGGAGATGCCACGTAAAAAAGCCATTTATGAACACAGTCTACGCTGGCCAATGCCTCTCCGTCACACGCTCATTGCTCTTAATCTTGAAGGATAGACGCTGGGTTCTTGTCTGTACTCCCCCTCTTCTCCTCTCTGTCTGTCCGCCCCTTGCCCCTTGACCCCACCCACCCCTTTCGAGTACCCGTTTCCTGGTGTTTTATTTGGCTGAACTTTGTGCTTTTCTCTAGAATTACGGTATTTGAGTTCTCCCTCGAATCTACCATATTCCAGTTTAAACATCTGTAAACATTTGCATGCCCCCCCAATGTATTTACTTATAAATTTATAAACCAGATCCAGCTTCCCCATATAAGGGACAGTGTGCATCCTTTGTCTCTCTGGACCTGACTTACTTGACATAATTTTTTCCAGGTCTTTCCATTTCTTTACAAACAGTACAACATCATTCTTTCTAACAAATGAGTAAAATTCCATTGTGTGTGTGTGTGTGTGTGTGTGTGTATCACATTTTCTTGATCTATACGTCCATTGAGGGGCATCTGGGCTGATTCCCTACCTTGGCTCTGGTGAATGGTGCTGCAATAAACATGGTTGTACTGGTGGCTTTACTGTATCCTGGTTTATAATCTTGGGTAAATGTCATAATTTTTTTTTATTTTTCCTGACTTCAGGTTAAAATAAAAACTGTAATGAAACAAAACAAACCTAAGTGCTCCCCTCCTTGGTCCCCTTAAACCTACCAGTCCTAGAACATCTGTCCATTTGAATGCTACAAGATTTCCTAAAATAGGACCCATCCTGTCCTCAGATTCCCTTACTAGGATTTGAGTCTTTAGTTTAAAAAAAAAAAAAAGGAAATGCAATGTCCTCCAAAACACTTAAGTAAACAGATTGCCTATTGGTGGATAGATTTTTCTCTATGAAAATCAGTCTGAGGGCAGCCACCACACTGGGGTATAAAAGATGACCTTTCCAGCTGCTGCCATTTGTATCCATGGGAAAATACGAGTTTTGTCTCTCTCCGGGAGTTAATATTGTGATATCTTGAAGACTACAAGGGCTGCGTTTCTGGAAGGTTTCGCTGGGGAGAAGCAATGCTTTGTGGCTCATGACAAGATCACGGCAGAATATTTTGTGTGCACTGTGATTTGTATCACCCCATTTGTGCATGGGCCATAAAAGTGCACTTTTTATCAGGAACATTTGGAATATATAACAGCACGGAAGACATATGGCCACTAAATAATTCACGGTTATCTATCTTCTCAGCAGATTCCTTATACACCTACCACATTTTAATGCCTGGTTTGCTCAGAAACAATATTTCTTTACGACCCTTCCAATATAAAAATGTTTACTGACTGGCAGGGATGTATGGATGCCAAGGGATTCGACTGAAGGCCAAGAAAAGTGTTCTGCTTTTACCTCCTCCTTTACTTCCTTTTCCCCCACTCAGCTCCTCCTCCCCTTGACATCCAGCCTGTCCAGAAACAGAGGGTGGAAGTCACTGACTGACCCTTCCTTTCTCCTCTTCACAGTTCCATATCCATCTACAGTCCCAAGGAGAACCCAAACGCCTTTGACACCGCGGCATTCTTCCAGTCCGTGGGGAGTTTCCTGGGGATCTTCGCCGGCTCTTTTGCCATGGGCTCAGCCTACGCGGTCGTCACAGCACTGATATCCTTTGTCTACGTCCCTGGATGCTGTCGGGAGCAGCCAGTGGCCATCGGATGCTTCTGATAACAAATGACCTCTAGCAAATGGTAAGGTCAATTCGAACTTGAGGTAACAGTAGTGGGGTTACCTGCTTCCAGGTGGGCCCTGGCAGTGTTGGTTGGTATTAGCGGCAGAAGTCAGGTTCTTATCCAAGATCAATTCCAGCACCATGGATGGTGTCTGGTCTCCAGGAGATTGCCCCCTAGGAACATGAAGATGAAGTATCTGAAGACCCAGAGTCGAGGACGGGGCAGGACTGGCTGAGGATGCTGAACTAGTCTTCTCGGTTGTGTGTTATAACTGTGTTGATGGCCAGCTCACCAGATAGGCCAACCCAGTGGTCACCGTGGGTTTTAAAAAGCATCGAGAGCCACTGTGCAATGTTGCACAGGACACACGTTTCCCTGACGTGGATTCCTTCTTCTTGCTGGGACTTTGGAGAGTAGCCAGGAGCTGAGCCGAGGGAAGAAGTTGATCTTCACCTGCAGAAGCTGACTGGGACCAGCACAAGTCAGTATAGAGGAGGAAACAAGAAGGCCAAGGCCAAGTGGGAGGGACAAGTAGAGAACACAGAGCAAGGGCGCTGGTGGCTCCTGCCTGGCATCCTAGCTACTCAAGAGGCTGAGATCTGAGGATCACGGTTCAAAGCCAGCCCGGGCAGGAAAAATCTGTGAGACTCTCATTGCTCCATTGAAGCTGAGAGCCGAGACAGGGCTGGAGTGGTAGAACGCCAGCCATGAACAAATAAAGCCAAGCCCTGTTCAAGCCCCAGTACTGGCACTGAATGAACTGAGACACTAAAGACCGAGGGCCAAAGTCCTAGAGGAGGCAGGAGGAAGGCATGTGCCCAGGAGGGTGGACGCTGGGGACGTGTTCCAGGAGAGTAGATGCCGAGATCTGGGCAGCGGGGAGCAGCTGAGGGGCTCAGGGCCTACAAAGAGTCAGGATGAGTAAAACGTGGGCCCTGCCTTCGGTGGGGACGATGTCAGGAAGGAAGCTCTGAGGGAAGTGCTGGAGTAGAGAGGTGAGTGCCCCGGCCACATGCGAGACTCGAGGGAGATAAAAGCACAGAGGCGCAGGGCAAAGCTCTGATGTAACTGAAATACACACTCTGCTCAGGGTCATTTTGGGGTTTTTTTGATGGTCTTAGGCTTTGAACTCAGGGCCCGGGCGCTGTCCCTCAGCTCTTCAGCTCAAGGCTGGCGCTCTACCACTTGAGCCACAGCGTCACTTCTGGTTTTCTGAGTGGTTTATTGGAGATAAGAGTCTCCCGGACTTTCCTGCCTGGGCTGGCTTTGAACCCATGATCCTCAGATCTCAGCCTCCTGAGTAGCTAGGATGACAGGCAGGCGCCACCGGTGCCCGGCCTCCAGGGTCGTTCTGGCCAGGATGAACCACCGTCGTACACAGAATTAGCAGCCTTCTCTGCCATCTCCACCATAAGACGCCCTGGGCAGCTCCCACTGCTGCACGTGAGTGCCTACCCTAGCCCATCTCCTTGGCTAAAGGGGGGAGGGAGTACCCACGGCCTGGGCCCCTCACGCCCGGCACATGGGCAGCACCCTCCTCCATTCAGAAGTCACACTCCTTGGCCGTTTGCCCCGGGGCGTGTGCAAAGCTGTGGAGGGGCGTGGCCCCAGGGCAGGGCCGGGCGTCCACCCTGCTGCCTTGGACTCTCAGTAGACCCCTTTGTAGCAAAGCGGGGCAGGGCTGTGACTCCCACGCCGTAGTGTGCATCTTCAGGGAGGGGCCGGCTCAGGTCTGAACACCATCACCAGACCAGGGGTTCCCAGCCACCGGGGGGCTACCGCTGACAGACGGCTGTCGTTTTCCTTAACCTGTCCCGTCACTTGACCAAATTCACCAAGCTGTGCGAGTTCCCGATGCTGGAGACAGGGCTGTTTTTCCTTCTGTCCTGGAGTGCCTTCCTGTCCGCAGAGGCCGCTGGCCTAACAGGTCAGTCCTGCCTGTGGCTCGGGAGCTGGGCGTGTGGATGTGGGTGTGTGTCTGTCTGTCTGTCCTGGACACTGAGTGACATGGAGTCTCTCTTAGTGAGTGGAAATCGTTTATATAAAATCAGCCTCGCATGGGCCTCCTGGGGGAGGTATAATAATAATAATAACAATATAATAATAATAAATGTAATCATCATAGTTATATATAATTAATGTGTTATATATAATAAACATGTGTAACATATATAAAAATAATATCATTAACATATTATATAATAAATATTTATAATAGATAATTTTAATATATTGTGTAATGAATATAATTAATATATATAATATGTGGATGCCATTCATAGATAACTAATATTTTGTAATGACTATAATGAATATGTACTATATTAATGTCATTCATGTATAATTCAGTGTAAGCAGTAGCCTCTCCCGGGCACGCCCATCCCCTCAAGCAAGTCCAGCCAGGTGGGTGTGTAGTGGGGGGCTGTCTCCGGGGTCCTCTGAGGGGGAGCAAGCAGTCGAGAGGAAGAAAGTCCTGCCGGCTGTCTGGATTCCCAGGTTGGCTGGGGAACGGTCGGCATTTGCCCTGGTATTGCTGCCATGCTCGGGCGCTTCTTCCTCTCCATGGAGGAGTCACTGGAGCTGAGCTGTGCGGAGGCTGCTGCCCTCCGGCAGCCTGCCTCCCTGCCTCTCCTGGCTTTCAGGGCCCTTTCCTCTCGCTCCGTGCTAACTGATACAGTTGAACAGCGACCATCTCTGCTGGGGATGAGCTGTGTCTCCCTGGGTTTCTGTGTGTCGGTTGGCGATGCTTTGAGTCTAGGTTAACGAATAGTAATGAAAATGGGCACGCAGCTAGGCGCCGGTGGCTCACACCTGTCATCCTAGCTACTCAGGAGGATGAGATCTGAGGATCATGAAGCCAGCACAAGCAGGAAAGCCCATGAGACTCTCTCTCTCTCTCTCTCTCTCTCTCTCTCTCTCTCTGGCAGTCATGGGGCTTGAACTCTGGGCCTGGGTGCTGTCCCCCAGCTCTTCAGCTCAAGGCGAGCGCTCTACCGCTTGAGCCACAGTGCCACTTCCGGTTTTCTGGTGGTTCATTGGAGATCAGGGTCTCACGGACTTTCCTGCCCAGGCTGGCTTTGAACCCAGATCCTCAGATCTCAGCCTCCTGAGTAGCTACAATGACAGTCTTGAGCCACTGGTGCCCAACTAGCCCAGGAGACCCTTACCTCCAATAAACTACTCAGAAAAAGCCAGAAGTGGCTCAAGGGGTAGAGCACCAGCCTTGAGCACAAAGAGGCTCAAGGACAGTGCCTAGGCCCAAAGTTCAAGCCCCAGGATCAGAAAAAAAAATGGACATGCATTGAAGGTGCACAGTGACCAAGTGCTGGTAGAATACCTTTCAGAGACCATCTCATTCATTTAGAGAAAGACTCAGCCGGCAGGGAGCCGTGGCACACAGATTTAAAGCAAGACGCTGGGGGGTGGTAGACCTGCATGCTGGGGCGAGATTGCACCCGGAGGGCACCGGACAGCTGTGCCCTGCATAGTAAGAGGGGTTTTCCAGGAGCCTGCCCTGGCCCCTTGCTCCTAGACTGGATATTGGCTTTCCTAGGACTGCCATGCGCATCATTTCCATAAGCAAAGCTAATCGGGCCCACCAATTGCTTATGTACTTCTGAGTACTTATCACAGTGCTACTGATTCTACTCCACAGTCCTCCGCTCACCACAACTATCTCACACGAAGTCTGTTCTGTTAGCACGTCACCATGTTGTGAAAAGGGGAAGTTGCAATCATTACAGAAATGAAAGAAAGGGTCTGGGAAGGTGGCTCAGTGGTAGAGCGCTTGCCTTGCATGCATGAGGCCCTGGGTTCGATTCCTCAGCACCACATAAGCAAAAAGAAAAAAGCTGGAAGTGGCATTGTGGCTCAAGTGGTAGAGCGCTAGCCTTGAGCTGAAGAGCTGAGGGACAGTGCCCAGGCCCAGAGTTCAAGCCCCATGACTGGCAAAAAAAAAAAGAAATGAAATCAAACAATAATGGTGTTCTTAAAGGAAACAACAAAGGTAAAACTTTGATTTCCTCCACTGCCTAGCCTGGCGCCCCGTTCAATACTTAATCTACTGTTGTAAAATGATCTTCGTGATGTTTATGCTGTGAATCAGCTGTTGATCTTCCAGGAAGGTAGAGCGGTATTCAACTTAACTTTTTTTTTTTTTTAGTCTTCTGGTGAGGTTGAAATCAAGATACACACGCACAGTTGCCAAAAAAAAAAAAAAAAACACTTTCATTTCTATGTGTGAAAAATGGTCTATTTCCAGATCTATTTGAACAAGATCTTGTTCTACCAACACTTGAAAGGTTGCAGTATGCAAGAAAATATGTAACCGGCTAGTTTATCTTTACCTTGGTCTCTTATGATCCTTTTTAACTTGATTTTTATTGTTATTATTATTGGTGGTGGTGTTATTATTATGCCTGTGTCTCAAGCCTAGGGCTTGAAATCACAGTCTGAGTACTGTTTCTGAGCTTGCTTGCTTTTCTTTCTTTCTTTCTTTCTTTGCTTAAGGCTAGCTCTCTATCACTTGAACCACAGCTCCAGTTCTAGCTTTTTGGTCATTCATTGGAGATAATAGTCTCATAGGCTTTCCTGACTAAGCTGGCTTTGAACCACCATCCTTAGATCTCAGCCTCCTGAGTAGCTAGGATGACAGGCTCTAGGCATCAGGGCCTAGCTAATCTGATATCTTAAGTGGATTTTGTGCAAAGTAAGGAGCCATTACTCAGGGTGATGGCTACACACACACACACACACACACACACACACACAAAACCTTCCTAGCAGAAAGATCCAAGTGCTCTTGATAAATTCACCCAACCACAGACTTTCTCCTGAGCACAAGTCCAGATTTGGGCCCTCTGCCTAATAGGCATGTGATAGAAACCAAAGTCTAGGTATTGCCATTTTTTTATTGCCAAAGATGGAGCTTGCTGGGTCTAAATTGCGCTGTGTTTGTTTATTATTTCATCCTGGCCTGTTTCCAGATTGGACTTGTGACAATGCCCGATACAAGCCACGCGTATCGCTGGGAGTTCTTAGTGGAAGATAAACACTCAAGTGCTCCGGTATCAAGTGTTTCTGCAGAATTAGGCAGCTGTTTGTTGCAATCATTTGGCAAATAAATACAGCTCTGAGCTTTCTTCCTGGTAGCCAGAGTCGAAAGGGACACATGAGTTAGCACAATTATATGAGCGTGAAAGGAAGTCACTTTTACTTACAACAATGAGCAATCTGGGGGGGGGGAGTAAATTAAAATTTAGGAGTAATTATCACAGACATCCTTATCTAAGGGGCTTTGGGCACCACGCTGGGAAATGTGGTGTTTTGATTGTTCAAATCATCCAACAATCATTTTAAAGAAGATATAGCAACCCGTGGTCATTTCTCAGATCCCACTTTCCTGAAGTCTCAGATCCCACAATTCCCTGAACTCCGCTCAGGGCCGTGATCAACGTCTTTGAGCTCTGGTTCAATGACACAAGGCTAACGTCTACAAAACGTCTTTTCAACTTGCCTAAAAATGAGTTGATCCTATTGCGGATAATCTCACACCAGCAATAAGGTGAACGAGAATGGATGGAGCCCTTTGTGGATGAGTACGTCTTGAGATCATTCACCATCTTGGGGCCTTGCTTACATGCACACCCTCAGAGCACATCTTGTGGGTCTACACACAATGGCTTCTCAGCGGGAACCCCCCCTAAGCCCTGACATCTCCCAGTAGGTCATTCATTCTGCACTTCTGAAGGCAAGCACTCGGGCTGACGGGGTAGAATTAGGATCACTGGACAGAAACGCAAATAGACTGCCAAGTTCTCCAGGCTTTGCCAGTACCAAGAGGAGAGCTGAAGCAATTAGAAACTCGGTAAATATCTTCCCAGCAAGGGGAACTCAGCCCAACAAAAGAAAAACTTTCCAAAGCCGAGTAACAGGCCAAGTCCCAACGTTCTCACACCACAGGACATCTTATCCATGAAGATGTTCCTGCTTTCCCTGGCCCCAAGGAACAAGGACACATGAAGGCAGGTCACCGGGGCTCTCTCTCTGCGGTGTGGAAACTTCCGGGCAGCAGGGAAGATGGGAAGGTGGGCTGCCTTCGGGCCCACATACTATACTGCCTTCCAACACATCCCCGTCCGTCTGCTCACCACCGCCAGAATAGATCTTTATTGCTTACCTCAGAGGTCTCAGGGAACGCGTAATCCAAAAGCTAATTTCAAAGGGGAAAAAAACTAGAAAGAAAACTAGCTAGATCGGTGACAGACAGAGAGGTGGGAGACGGCGCAGTGTGGAACGTATCCTGCCAGGTGCCGACTAGGAGACAAAAGAGAATCCAGCTTTGAAGACAGCCCCCCCCCGGCCTCCCAACACCCCGAGTCGGTTGAACCTCTTCTTCCACTCCTTACGGATACTTCCGTGGGTGGGCAGGGGGTGCCGGTCATCCCCAAAGCTCCCCCCTCGCTTCCAGCCGTTACTAATCTGATGATGACCACTTCATTTGTTTTGATCATCTCTTGTACACACACTACTTTGTGTGGCTTTCGAGGAATTAACACAACCCAGAGCTGCTTCTCCGTGAGAGTCCTGTGTCCGTCCTTCCTACTCCCCGATCAGCTAGAGATTTTCCCAATATTTTCCCAAAGTCATTAGGTGCCCGAGCCATTACTTTACCCGGAATATTGAGACTAACCCGCCAGCCTGACGCATCACATAATCTCTAATAAAAGTCGATCTCTGTCACAGAAGCCTCTTTTCGGGTTTATAGAGATAACCAGAAAGCACACACAGAGCTGGACAGGCCGTTTGAAAATGCACTTGTTTTAATCATCTGCGACGTTGGTGGGGGTTGGGGGGGCGGTCAGGGTGTTTTTTTAGGCTTTGGCCAGAAGCAAACTTTGAGGACTGGCATCAGACCCGACGGCTACGTCGACGGCTTCCAGCCAGGGCTGTAAGCAAGGCAAGCTTCCATTTTTAGATTCCTGGGGCCTGTCTTACCCGGGGCAGAAGCCGAGGGAGGAGCGAGCGTCCGCGGGACCACATGTGTTTCTCATCCGAAATGTGAAACAAACCTAACTAACCCCCTCTCCACTCAGCTCTGGATGATTTCCATCGAAGAAAATAAACACGTCCAAATACAAAGGCAACCACAAGTCCTGACTGCGAAGCCAGGCTGCTTGAGTCAAGAGACTACATGATGAGCCTGAGAATGAATGCACTGGGGGGGGGGATACAAACAGGAAAGGGGATACAAACAGGAAAGACACCCCCCCCTGGGCCGGGTCATCCTCTAGGAACGCCCAAAAAACGATCTTGTGGCCCAATCACGTTCTCCAGAGGCTCTGCGCACAGCAGGGCCTCGTTACCCGGCTGATGGAGCGGCTGGCTGTGGGGAGCTCAGGTGAACTCAGCCGCCAGGTCAGTTGGTGGAAGGCTTCAGTGGCGTGAGGATCTAGGAACAGAGAGCTGGTCCCTTTCTGTTCACAAGCGCCAGGAGACAAGCTTTTCCACGGGCAGCGATGTCACCCCGACACCTTGAGACTCCGCCTGGCCCCCTGGAAGTAAGTTGGCATGTTATTTCTTACCTCCCTGGCCACCCAGATCTGCCCGACGAAATTGCCCGGAAGCCTCTTCAGAAGGCGTTTTGCTCAGGGGTGAATGTGTTCTGTCCATTTGAGTTTGCCACCGAAGCAGGGCGGGAGAGGCGGGGCGGGGGAGAGAATGTTTCTAGAGCTCAGTAAATATGACACATGGCCAGGAGTGAACTTGGTTTGAAATGCTTCTCGAAGCAAACCTGGCCAGTCTTCGTCTCTAAGTACAAATTGTTATCCGCCCTCTCCTGGCTTCACTGCCTTTGATTTCCTCTTGAGGGGACTGCGTAGATCCAACTTAGCCACCAATTCAGCAGCAAGCGGGGTGCAGTGACCGCCGGCCAACCCTCCCGATAGTAGGCATTCAAGCTGCAGAAGTAGGCACCCCACATTCTTTTCTTGTTGTCAGTCATGGGCCTGAACTCTGGGCCTGGGCGCTGTCCCTGAGCTCTTCAGCTCAAGGCAGGCGCTCTACCACTTGAGCCACGGCGCCACTTCCAGTTTTCTCAGTGGCTCCTTGGAAAATAAGAGTCTCAGGGAGTTTCCTGCCTGGGCTGGCTTTGAACCGAGATCTGCAGATCTCAGCCTCCTGAGTAGCTAGGATGACAGGCGTGGCACCCCACCTTCTTGGGAGGAGAAAGTAGCAAGGACACTGCGCTGGAGTAAACATGCAGGGGGGGGAGGAGGAGGCTGGGGTGGGGCGGGAGGCCGGTGGTCCCCAGAGGCTGATTAGCTCCCACCTGCGCCTTGGTCAACCAAACCATTCCTAACATGGCGCCACACAAACAAACAGTGCTTGGAGCGAAAAGTGGTGGAGAGATCTACCCCCATGTCCTTCCCCGTAAATGTGTGCAGCCTTGATTTTCATTTAGCTTCTGCGTGTGGTGTCAGGAAGCAGCGGGGGGGGGGGGGGGAGGAGAAGGTCCTTTCTTAAGAGCCTGTAGAAAATCGTCGGGAAGCGGATACAAATTACCAGTGTGGGGGAAAAGATCCTATCCAGGTCCCTCCGCCAACTAGATCGATAACTCGTTTACTGGAAGGGAAGACAAATGAATATGCACACAGGGTAGAAAGCGGGGGACACAACAATTCATTCCGGGTCCCTCGGGAGCGGGCGGGTGCGGTACACAGACACCCAGCTGCTGTGGGGTTGCTAATTGGACATTCAGGTGCGATGTATACACACACGCACACACACACACTCAGGTGATAATACAAAGGTGTCCGCGGGTGCTAAGGAAATGGAAATGCCAGTGAGGGGAAGCCTGATGGGCTCCAAACTTGGGGTGAAGTGCCAGGGATCTGTCTTAACCTGAAGAAGGGGTGGTTTTTCTTTTTCTCTACGCCTCAGGTCGATTTGTGCACGTCCTCACTACTACAGGGGGAAGGGTGGGGGAATTGCTGTTGTTAGATGGAAATCTCTCAGCTTTGCAATATAGGCACAAATGTACCTGGACACTGCGCTGGAGAAATCAGAAATATAGGTGTGTCCGTTCCACAGGGCCCGCCGGCGGCTCACGCCCGTTACCCCAGCTATCAGGAGGCTGAGATCTGAGGATCACGGTTCAAAGCCAGCCAGCCCGGGCAGGAAAGTCCACGTGAGAGTCTTCTCTCTAACCACCAAAAGGCCGGAAGTGAAGCTGTGGCTCACGTGGTGGTAGAGCATCAGCCTTGAGTGTAGAAGCTCAGGGACGGGCCCCAGGGCTGGCACGCAAGCACCGATAGCAAATGTAGGTTGGTGCTGCTGTCTGCATCGATGTTTCTGTGTTCTACAGACCCATGATTAACCTGCCAGCTGCGTTGTCAAATGTGAACTAGACGCTCACTGCCCTCCTTCCAAGTGTGGGTCCTTTCCTATCCTCGAAGGAGTTTTCTGTTGCATCTCTGACTTCCCCGTTACAGGTTCATCTCTGGTGGTGATTGGAAGCCTGTCAGCAATGTCTCTTTTCAAGAATAAATAAAAATGTGGCATAGGAAAAAAAGAACCCATCAACCTTAAAACCCCTCAGAGTACAGTCGGAGAGCAAGATACATTTTTTTCCCCTTTCTCTTTCTGTGCTCTGATGATATAATCAATATTTCCTGTCTAAAAATGCAATATTCTCCGGTCTTGGAAACCCTTCAAGTCTACATTTAATGTCAAAGAGAATCATGTTCCTCGTGACAGACGCTTATTTTTTCTGCTGCGTGATCTGAAGGCTTCATCAACTTTTAATGAGAAAAGAAGTGTGGAATAATGTTATCAGTGGCAGACACCGCAGGTGTCAATAGTCTTGAGCTGAGAACATTTAAATAGAAGAGGAAAATGTGTCCCGCCACTAATCAACTCGCATAAACACCTATTTGTAGATGAAGATCAAAAACTAATCTCCCTATCTTCTCTTCCAAAAGCCAAATACGCATTTGTGGAAATAAAGATTAATTCCTTTGGGCTCCTGGAGTCTGAGCGTCTTAGGTCTTTTCTAGATACTGCCACAGGCTCAGGACAATACAGAGTAGCAGTGAGAGGTATATACCGTGTCCACAGGGAGAAACTTTAATGTCAAAATGTCCTCATTCCTCAAAAGACTGACTGTGTGTCAATCTTAAATGTTTCTCTGGTGATGCCTATTTTTGTAATAGAAATTCTATGAAGAACAGAATAAATGCCTTCAAAGGTTTTTTTTTTCCTCCTTAGAATTCCTGAAGATATAAGTGGAAAATTCCCCCCCCCCAAAAAAAAAAACCTCTCTAGAAATGCTTACTGGATATTTAGTTCTTGGCAAAATTTCCTGCTTATTTCATTGAAAAATTAGAAGTGTATTATTCAGAAAAAATAAGTAATGGTAAGGTCCACCTGTTGGTATTATATAAATATGTCTTAGCAATAAGTTATCCAATCTTGGGGGAAAAAATGACCAGCAGGTAAATAAACACGAGCGTTTACGTAGCCAAAAGATAGGCTCGGGTCTCCGGGTGTCTCTTATTATTATTAACGGCAGGTTCCTTTGAAATGCCAGTATTCCGTTCACATATCCTCTCCTGAGGATCGTCAGCACTTAATTGAGGAGTGTTTTTCCACGGGAAGATTCTGCTACTTCAAATTCAGCTCAAGTGTTGGGGAGGGCCTCCAGCCTGCCAAAGAGGATCTCTCCCTCCCTCCCTCTCTCTCCCCCCTCTCCTTTTCTCTTTCCCCTTCTCTCCCCCTCTCCCTCTCTCCCTCCCTTCCTTGCTCCCTCCCCTTTTCCTCCTCTTCCCTCTCTCCCCCTTCCCTTCTCTCCTTCCCTCCCTCTCCTTCCCTCTCCCCCCTTTTCCCCCTCTCTCTCCCTCCCCCTCCCTCCCTTCCCCTCTCTCCCCCTCACCCCTCTTTCCCTTTCTCTCTCCTTCCCTCTCCCCCTCTCTCCCTCTCTCCTCCCTCTCCCTCCCCCTGCCCCCTTCTCTGACCCTCTCTCTCCCTCCTTTTCCCTCCCTCTCTCTCTCTTCCTCTCTCTCCCTCTGTCTCCCTTCCTCTCTCTCTCTCCCTTCCTCTCCCTTCCTCTCCCTTCCTCTCTCTCCCTTCCTCTCCCTTCCTCTCTCTCCCTCTCTCTCCCTTCCTCTCCTTTCCTCTCCTTCTCTCTGTCTTTCTCTCTCCTTCTCTCCCCTCTGTCCTTTCTCTGTGTCTCCTCTCTCTGTCTTTCTCTCTCCTTCCCTCCCTCCCTCCCTCCCTCCCTCCCTCGCTGGGAAAGCAGGCATGTTGCCAGGAGGAACAAAACCCTCATCCACATCTTAGGTCTGTGACTCAGGGTCTTTCCTAGTAAATTAGGGCAGCCCAAGAACCTTCTGGGGCTCCCTAAGTGCACCCTGAAGGCAAAGGCCCGCACTGACACCACCCTGTAGTACCACACATGGCCAAGGAGGGGCGCCGGTCACCAGAGGCCCAGCGCGGACCACGCAGCCTTGGTTCATTGGTGGCCCAGTGCCACTGTCCCCGCCGGAAGAATCCACCCTCGGTTTCCTTTTTCGGGTGCTTTGATGACTGGCTGAGGCTTCCTCGGCGCGGTCATCGTGAAGCGTTGGCCCTGGATGGACACGGAGTCCGCGCTCCCATGGGGGAGAGCAAGCGGGCTGTTGACGCTGCTTCTCTGCCTTGCAGGGATCGTGGCCGTGCTCTTCTGCGGAGTCACGCAGGCGCATTACACCTACAACAACCTGTCGCCCGATTCCAAAGTGAGGACCAAGCAGGTAAGAGAGAGAGAGAGCAAAGCCACGCCGGGCTTTGCCTTTCCGTCCCTGTAATGGCTATGCGGTGGATCTGGTGGGAAAGAAAAGCTTCAGGCTTCTTGCTGCGTTGGAGACTTGGAGATTGTTTTGGTTGTTTTTCTTTTGCCCTTCGGGAGAACCATGAACAATTCTCTTGGTAAGCAAGAATCGGGTTAGAACAGTCCCCCTCTCCTGAGAGACGGGGACCGTAAACTGTCAGCCTGGAAGAGGCAAGGCCTACGGTCAGTAGTAATTCGCCCTCACTTACAGCAAGAGGCGCTGTGAGGCGTGTGAGATGGGGTCATTAGAGAGAGAGGAAGGAAACGAAGGATTCAGAAGTGGCATTTGGGCTTTCGTCGAGTGTTTTTGCTCCTAAGCAAGCCCAGCTTCTAATTGTCGCGGGAACAGGAATACGCTTCCTTTATTCTGGGAGTGCATCTGTCTGTCTGGGGTGTTTGCGCGTGAATGAGCACACATCCAGCCCACAAACAGCCATCTCGTGTTACGCGAAAGACTAGGGATACGAAGACATCCTAAATGCCAGGGATTCAAATACCAGGGACATGAAGTATGTGACTTGCTTTCAAGAAGTTCCTGGTGGAGTCTTATTGACGCAGATGTGTAATTAGTAATCATCGACAGCATGGTGGACAGAAAACCTATGGGGAATATGTGCGGGCCGTTTAGCAGGGGGTTGCTCTCACGTTAGAACTGAGAAAAAAAATGGGAGACAGTTCCCAGAGTCATCCAATAACCCCACCAGGGCTGCGTCCTGTCTGTGCTGTGTCTCTTCTTCCGTCCGGGGGGTTAGCGTATAGATTTCTCCCTCCATGCCCGTGGGTTCTCCCTGGGAGCTTGTCTGCGTCCAGATCTGCCCTTTTTCACGAGGGGACATGTGACCTCCTGGGTCTCTGTCCCTCAGCTCTTCAGCTCAAGGCTGGCGCTCTACTGCTTGAGCCACAGAGCCACTTCCGGTTTTCTAGTGGTTTATTGGAGATCAGAGTCTCACGGACTTTCCTGCCCGGGCTGGCTTTGGACCGCGATCCTCAGCTCTCAGCCTCCGGAGTAGCTAGGGTGACAGGCGTGAGCCACCGGCGCCCAGCTAACTAATTCTTGGAGGGTGGCTTTGAAGCTGCCCGCAGTGGCTCTTGCTGTCATTCATCTTCTCAAACTCGGGTGGAGCCGCCCTGCCGCGCGCGGCCCAGGGCCTCTTCAAGGTCACCATCGTCTCAGGGGCTTCGGCCGTTGGGAGGGCCCTTGAACAAAGTACAGTACATCACAAAACAGCGAGAAGCCTCCCGTATCAGTGCTCTAAGCTCCTTTGCAGGGTGAAGACTCCTAGAACACTCCGGGTCTCTTGAGGGCCAGTCCTGGGCTGGTTTTCCCGGCCTCTCTGGTTCTCTGGGCATTTGCATTCTGGGAGGCTGAGCCGCCCTTGGAGGCCCGCTCTTTAAAGTCATTCTGTCTACGATGCACAGCACAACGTCTCGCTGGTACCTAGGGGAGACAGAGCCCAAATCAGCACCCCTGGGGCCTCCAGTTCCGCCTCTGGTTCCCTGCTGGCCACCAGAGCCCAAGCAGAGACCCCCATCCCGGCCTCCATCTGCACCACTCCCATTCCCGGGGCCAGTGTCACCTCCCCCCGCCTCTTACCAGCAGAACCTGCCCGTCTCTGTTTTATTTCTGTCTCTCATTACGCAGGCATGCATGACACCACGCGTAGCTAGCGTTCGGGCGTATCTACGCTCACACGCCTCCACACACAACCCGCTCTCTCCAACACAACCGCTCTGATGGGTGAGATCGTAACCTAAAAGGAGGGCCACCACGCCACTGTGCGTGGGAAAGCGAGAATGAAGGGTGGAGGGCGGTGGGACGCAGGTCACAGAGCCCGGCGCCATGTCCTCGCTGAAGCTGGGGGAGATTGGGAAGGAGTCACGCGATGTCCCCTGCAGTGTCCACGCTGCCCAGGCCCTGCCCCCCCCCGCCCCAGGACTCTGGAATGAAACCGTAAGAAGTATGTCGGTATAGTGGGTGGGGGGAATCCACATAAATCAACTTTGTACCCTAAAGTCCAAAGGTGATGGGACCGACCCAGGGATTTTAGTCCTAAGGGTATCTCTGAATCTGCTCATCAAGCTGAGGATCGTGTATTCTTTATACCTTTTGAGCGTCCCATTGCTTTTCCAAAAGCCGCATCTTCATTTAAAAATGCATCGTTAAAGCTAATTAACCTAAGCCGGGTGTGGGGGGGGCCCTCACACCTGTCATCCTAGCTACTCAGGAGTCTGAGAGCTGAGGATCATGGTTCAAAGCCAGCCCAAGGAAGGCAGGTTGTGAGAGTATTCACCAGTCAGAACAGGAATGGAGCTGTGGCTCAAAGGGGTAGTGATGGCTTTGAGCACAAAAGCTCAGGGACAGCGTCCAGGTCCTGAGTACAAGCCCAGGACCTTCACAAAAAAGGGAGAGACAAGATAAACACCACTATGGTTTAGACACACACATGCACACACACTCATATACACACGCACACACTCACATTCACTTGTACGTACACACATGCACACACACACACACTCACACACACTCACATGTACATACACTCACGCACACACTCACATGTACATACACTCACACGCACACATATGCACATACACGCTCACATGCACACACATTCACCTGTACATACACATGCACACACATGCAACACTCACATGCATACACACTGCACACACTCATATGTACATACACTCACATGCACACACACCCCGCAGCCTGTGTGGTCAGTTGCTTGTACACATTCAGTTCTGGAGACAAACACATACTGCTGGCCCTGCCTCTTGACCCAGAAACTGACTGCTGTGTGGGACACCCAGATGGACACCAGCACCGCACACTGGGGCCTCACCCTGCAGCTGTGCAGACCCTGTGGGCCTAGTCACATAAGTTCCCGTGATAACCCACCCTC